ACAACAAAAACAGCGAACTCCAAGGAAAATTCAAAACAGATTACAAATGGGAAAATCAAAAGTTCAGTCACATCTCAAACGACTGGAAAACAGCTGTCATATTCCTGACTTCGTACAGGCATTTCCTTATGTAGAAAATGGTGGATTAAACCTGGTTTTATAGCTAGCCAAACTTCTCACTTGAATGACAGTCGAATAAAATTCCATTAAATTGACAACAATGTGTGAGCAAAACAAACAGACATAATATGTAAAAATGTCACAAATTGGGGTACAGCAGTTATATTTTCTCTTATCCCATTTAATAACTAGCTTTTGGTTGACATGCTTATACACACACATATATATATATATATATATATATATATAAACAAGTCTAAATTGAAAACAACGTTCAAACCTATGATTGCGTTGGATAAAAACCGCAATTTTTATACGTGTGCATGCAAAACAAATTTCTTGGTAGAGTGGTCTAAATACAGCACAAACAACATTTTCCAAAAGACCAAAAAAGTGAAAAAGTATATTTTAACAAAACGCATTTGACTAGCAGGTCGAACAACGGATGTTCTTAAACCCTGCTGACTGCCATGGCGATTGCCAAATAAACAGATCACCAGATGTAAAAATGGATCTTAATTTATTAATAATATACCAAACAGAAAACAATAAACTTGCGGAAAAGATGGTATACCGCAAACATAAGGTGCAAAAATTTGTACACCATATCCGGATTTCGACAATAAATGTCTCTTCAGTGATGTTAGGAATCGAAACGGTATTTGGAAGGCCATATAATTTACCTCAATTTGGGATTGACTCTTGAATTTTGAAGAGTCAAAATAGGATGAACGGATCATATAAACCCGAAGGCAAATATAACACAAGCCCAAACAAATAAATATAAACAAGTCTAAATTGAAAACAACGTTCAAACCTATAATTGCGTTGGATAAAACCTGCAATTTTTATACGTGTGCATGCAAAACAAATTTCTTGGTAGAGTGGTCTAAATACAGCACAAACAACATTTTCCAAAAGACCAAAAAAGTGAAAAAGTATATTTTAACAAAAGGCATTTGACTAGCAGGTCGAACAACGGATGTTCTTAAACCCTGCTGACTGTCATGGCGATTGCCAAATAAACAGATCACCAGATGTAGAAATGGATCTTAATTTATCAATAATATACCAAACAGAAAACAATAAACTTGCGGAAAAGATGGTATACCGCAAACATAAGGTGCAAAACTTTGTACGCCATATCCGGATTTCGACAATAAATGTCTCTTCAGTAATGTTAGGAATCGAAACGGTATTTGGAAGGCCATTTAATTTACCTCAATTTGGGATTGACTCTTGAATTTTGAAGAGTCAAAATAGGATGAACGGATCATATAAATCCGAAGGCAAATATAATACAAGCCCAAACAAAAAAATATAAACAAGTCTAAATTGAAAACAACGTTCAAACCAATGATTGCATTGGATAAAAACCGCAATTTTTATACGTGTGCATGCAAAACAAATTTCTTGGTAGAGTGGTCTAAATACAGCACAAACAACATTTTCCAAAAGACCAAAAAAGTGAAAAAGTATATTTTAACAAAACGCATTTGACTAGCAGGTCGAACAACGGATGTTCTTAAACCCTGCTGACTGCCATGGCGATTGCCAAATAAACAGATCACCAGATGTAAAAATGGATCTTAATTTATTAATAATATACCAAACAGAAAACAATAAACTTGCGGAAAAGATGGTATACCGCAAACATAAGGTGCAAAAATTTGTACACCATATCCGGATTTCGACAATAAATGTCTCTTCAGTGATGTTAGGAATCGAAACGGTTTGTGGAAGGCCATATAATTTACCTCAATTTGGGATTGACTCTTGAATTTTGAAGAGTCAAAATAGGATGAACGGATCATATTAATCCGAAGGCAAATATAATACAAGCCCAAACAAAAAAATATAAACAAGTCTAAATTGAAAACAACGTTCAAACCTATGATTGCATTGGATAAAAACCGCAATTTTTATACGTGTGCATGCAAAACAAATTTCTTGGTAGAGTGGTCTAAATACAGCACAAACAACATTTTCCAAAAGACCAAAAAAGTGAAAAAGTATATTTTAACAAAACGCATTTGACTAGCAGGTCGAACAACGGATGTTCTTAAACCCTGCTGACTGCCATGGCGATTGCCAAATAAACAGATCACCAGATGTAAAAATGGATCTTAATTTATTAATAATATACCAAACAGAAAACAATAAACTTGCGGAAAAGATGGTATACCGCAAACATAAGGTGCAAAAATTTGTACACCATATCCGGATTTCGACAATAAATGTCTCTTCAGTGATGTTAGGAATCGAAACGGTATTTGGAAGGCCATATAATTTACCTCAATTTGGGATTGACTCTTGAATTTTGAAGAGTCAAAATAGGATGAACGGATCATATAAACCCGAAGGCAAATATAATACAAGCCCAAACAAAAAAATATAAACAAGTCTAAATTGAAAACAACGTTCAAACCTATGATTGCGTTGGATAAAAACCGCAATTTTTATACGTGTGCATGCAAAACAAATTTCTTGGTTGTGTGGTCTAAATACAGCACAAACAACATTTTCCAAAAGACCAAAAAAGTGAAAAAGTATATTTTAACAAAACGCATTTGACTAGCAGGTCGAACAACGGATGTTCTTAAACCCTGCTGACTGCCATGGCGATTGCCAAATAAACAGATCACCAGATGTAAAAATGGATCTTAATTTATTAATAATATACCAAACGTATATATATATATATGGTATCATACTGCATGTTACTAAATCCTTCATACAAAAGAAGGCTTTATATTGGTTATAGCACATATATTTGTCAAAAGATTTTTTAAAGATGCCTTTTGATTAAATAATAAAACATTCGTTTAATCAGATTGCGAGGAAGTGCAGTGAAGAGCAATTACTAGTTCCATTATTTGCTTTTCCTTTGTTACAAAATTTACATATAAGTTCATTAATTAATTTAAGGAACTTGTTAAAAGAAACTAACGATAAGTTTTAAAAGACCTGATGAGAACCGAGATAAAAAAAAAGTAATGACTCGAGGTTTTGTAAAGTTTAGGTTTAGGTTAGGGTATTTTTGATGAATATTTACATCCAATTGGCCGATGCCACTGCTTATAGATGTCACCAGTCGTCCAGAGGGCAGCTCTTATGTGCTGACATGAAAAATCATGAATGCGGTCATTTCTGTAAGTTAATTTTTTTTCAATCCTTTAATAACGCTATGTGTTTTTCTTAAAGGCAGAGATGGCTTTAACTAGATTTGGAACTCTTGGTTTTCAACTTTGAATTTGATTTGGCTTTCCATCTCTTTGATTCTGATGCAACTGAAGAGTCTTATGTAGACGAAATGCGCGTCTTTTGTACGGAATGAAAAGCCTGGTATATCAACCAATGGGATCATGCAACTACTGGTGATTTTTTTATTCGAAAGTCACTGATGACTTTTAATATGTAAACGAGGAAAGTCTGGATTACTGAATTATAAGCCTGGTATCGTTGATGAGATTTAGGAAGCTAATACATAGTCAGGAAATGCCTGTACCAAGTCAGGAATATGACAATTGTTTTCCATTCGTTAGATGTGTTTGAGCTTTCGATTTTGCCATTTTATAAATGACTTTCCGTTTTGAATTTCCCTTTGAGTTCTGTATTTTTGTTATTTTACTTTTTAAGTGAAAATATATGATTCTACACAGATACATGCTAATACGTATTAAACATATATTGTTCTAAACATCAATCAAATAAAATGTCTTTGACTTAATATTTGAACATATAAATTGCGAAAGTTTTAGAAGCTATGAAAACGTTGGGTATTATTCGAATAATTAACGATTGCTAGAATTAGAGGATATGATTAACAAATAAACTACTCCCATAAAAGTTAATTCAGTTTGAATTTACAAAACAATTACGTAAACATCTTCATTCTTCAAACTGCATAACAGTTTTTTTTTCAAAGTTAACAGGTCAAGCTTTGTTTGGTTCAGTTTAAGCTATTTGTAACATAATTGCAGCCTTTGTTCTCTGAAACCCTTTATACAAAACATTTTTTTTTTAATCAAGGTATTTGGTTGTATTTATACAGAGCTTTTCTGATGATGAAAATCAAGAAAATATTTTCCAATGCAAAAATTTGGAACGTTTGAATATGGTTTTGTTAGTATATCGCTGACGTTCTTATGCAAATATGAAATGATGATGTATGTTTGGTTCTGAATTACGTATCTTATTTTTTTATACTACGTCACTCTTTTGTGTCATTCTCAGATACGATTTATTCTTGCCAAGACTAGCACAACTTGTGTCACTTTTGGAGATTAACATTCTTATTCTTCTGGAGTACCTGACTTCAACATCGGCTTCAGTATACTGTTTGTGTTTCTTAATTTGTAGTTTTTGTGGATTGATGTTTGTTTGTTCGTCTTCTTTTGTATTTGGCAAGGGTGTTTTATGTTTTTTCTCCGACTAAGGGTTTTTGAATTGCATCCTTGGTATCTTCTTTCCTTGTTAACATTGATCATCAAGATTTAAAACGGTCTCATTCATCTATCTAGTTTTTTTATTTATTATTTATTTTATACGTTTAGATTGACATGACACGTTAAATGGAATTCACAAATGCCATGTTATTGTCTAAAAAGATGTTAAAATAAAAACCACAAAGTGCATAGGATAAAATTCATATCGTATTAGCTATAGCTGTTTATGTCTATGGAGTTAACCTTGATAATATATAATATACCAATACTGTCATTTTTTAGACTTAACAACAATTTTACACCTTTTTGGTTCCTTCAAATAAAGAAGCATTTGCGTACAATTATTGAAAGACTATCGTCTCATTCAACTATTTTGGGAAATGATCATTATAAAATGCATGCAACAATGTCAAAAAACTTAAATGAACTTACCGTATATATTTACTTAATCATTAAATAATCGCTTAAATTTGTAAACCAGTGAACAGTGTATACGTTATATATCTTACCTTACGTAAATTTCCATCGCTGTTGGAAAACCCCAATCTATATTTATACTTAAACTTTCCCAATGTTTTTGGTATTGCTTCACTATCAGATGTAGTGTAATAATCTTTAACATAAATCATTAATATTATATTGATATATCAACACACATGCTAGAGCAAAACCCAAGGTAATTCTGTGTGTTCACTCTCCTCTTTTCGATACATATTTTTATATGTGCAATTCAAAGTTTTGCCTTAAATATGTTTTTTATTTATCTACATCTCGTTCATTAGATTGATGAATGTTTATAGGCATCTGCTCACTGCGTGTGGATACCAATGGTATGACGAATAGATTGAATGTCAGAATTCTTGCTGTTCCATTTGTTTTTCTCTCAACTTTTCTGCAGCCTAACACTTTTGTAATGAAAAGTCAATTTGAGTAAATATTAAGGGGCCAGCAACCAACCAGCATGATTCAAATGAAATGGACATTAGTAGGTAACCATATGATTTCTATCTATCTGTCCCTGCTGTGTGATAATCTGTAAAAAGGTTTTAGGCTATGGAAGTCGTAAATTAATTTGAAAAAGACGACAAAATATCGCCTGCACTTATCGATCAACTTATTTAATTGAAAAAAAAATGTTAGCCAAACAACTAACCAGTGATACGATTATTTACCTGCGACAGGCATATATCAGTAAAATGTTATTCTTATTGGGGCAAGCAATTAAATTTTGGTGTATTTTTGTTTAATGAACTTGTGTATGTCTTTTCACCTTTTATTTATTTTGGCCATGTCGACCACTAAGGTTTTTTATAACCTCTGTTGCATTTTTTAAAATTAAATTCTTTTTCTCTCTTTCTCTTCTCGATCTATGTCCATTTCAAATTTGTTGGGTGAAGAGCATATATAGACTTCTTTTAATGTTTATTGTAGGGGAAGGGGTCCATAAAAACTGACAAAATCAGGCGTTTCACTAGATCAATCAACCGAAACAATGAATGACAAGTGTCATATTCCTCAGGCATTTTCCGAACAACATGTACAAGGAAGAAAATCAGCTGGTGAAGGAGTCAGAAGGGAATTTCTTTTCGTTTAAATATACTTCCCGTTTGATAACTATGATCGTTATAGCCTAATCAGATAGGAAACACATGTTCTATAGTTTCGAATAAATAAAATGCTGACATCTAGATATCTAGTTAATAGTTATTTATGTCATAAAGTATGATTGTAAAAGACATCTTTTCTCAATTTCAAAGTTAAAGTAATTGCTTTAATCAAACCATGAAGTATGTACTAGGTACAATTGAAAACTTTGACATTTCTCTGCAAATATAATAGAGAAACACTTCGATTGCGTGTGATTTCAAATGAAAAGTTTATATCTCAATCAACAGAATTACATTCACATAAATTGACTCAAAATTTATCACAGACTTTTTATAAAATTCAATGTTGTCATTATCTCAGCAGAAATATGTATCTGCAAGTTAAACATTTTAAATTTGTAAGAATATTTGTGTTATTAAGACACATTCAACTATTTTCTTCAAAGTATATAAATATTAGAAAACAACATAAGACTGATAAATACTCATTCAGTGTCTTCAATTTTGTTCTATGTTAAAACCACTGTTGACATATACGAAGTGTTGCTAAGTATAATCTACGTCAACAAAAAGGACATTTTTGTATTTAATTCAGAAATTTTATTTTTGTCCGTGGTTTTAGATACGAGGATTTTTCGTGTTAAAAGTTCAGAATAAACTATTAACGACAATGGACGAAGGACACCAAGGTATTACAATATGACAGGATGTGGATGATACATGGGACAATCGCAAACCATTATTCGAAGAAAAACAGATAAAACAATCGACGAAAAGACAAACAACAGTCCACAAAACACTATGCATAACACTTTTAAAGATTGAGAAACACAAACCCCACCAAATAACTCTTTTTCACCTTCAGTTTTTGTAGGTTTCAATCTTTTCGTTGTCTACACAGTTAACCATCCAACTTGAAATTCAGGCAAACTATACCAAACAACAAGCATAACTGCTATTTTATCACCTAAAAGTTAAACAATTTAGAGTCATTTTTTCAACGTATACACATAAATCTTTTTACTGGTTAACCAAGTCTTAAACAATAAGGTAAAACCAATTACGTAACGTATTGTTTGTTTCAATAGAATTAGCCATTGTAACTTATATTATGAATTGAATATTCTGTCGCAAAAGAATATAGGGTTAGTGTTTACTTAATATGAGATATTAAATGCATAAGACTACTCTTTGATTGTTACTTGATATACTTGATATATATAAAGGATGTACTTACTAGGTGAAATTAAAAAAATCTAGAATTTAAAATTGATACTATAAGTCAGAAGAGCATTAGTTCAGGAACAAAAAAAGCAAAAAATATTGATAGGTTATAGAACTCCTTTTTGAGATATTTGATTTTTTTTTTAAATGGCGGGAAAAGGCTAACTCGGGACTTTTACCTTACATTGAGCATTGGCATTATTTGGGTCTCAAATCGTAAGAAAAAATCTACAATCTGCTTAAATTTTGGTAATGACCATGTTACGGTCAGAAATCACCTTTAAATTGTAGCATACAAAAGACAAAAATCAATAATAAATTCAACAAGATTTATTATACAATTTTACAAGAAATATTATACAAATTGAAATGTCAACTTAATTGTTAAAATATATGTCCGATCCTTTGTCTTTTCTTTATCCGGAAATCTTCTCTTAACCGTACGGAATCCAATGAAATATATATGTCCAATAAGATCACAAACTAGTATGATATCGTTCGTAAATAAAAGTGTCAATCCAACAACTCCGGAGAACTTCTGAGAATACAAGTATATTAATGTCTGTCCGTCTAATTTCTATATAGTTGTCACGGAAACTTCTAGAAAACTGTAGAAGGGAAACTCCTAGAAAATTGTAGAAGGGAAACTTCTAGAATATTGTAGAAGTTTAAATTACGCATCGTAGATTATGATCATTCCGGAATTATTATTTAAGTCAAATAGAAAGGTCTAATCATTCCATCACCATTTGTAAACAACTAAAAATAGTAAACGCCCCAATTAAGTATCTTATAAGGCCACACAAAACAAAGTAGGCCAAGATAAATAAACATGATAATTACAATATCATAACAACCTTTTTGAAAGCTATTGAAGTCTTCTGTGAAAAGAAAAGTGGGTGATATGGGGCAAAATATTTTACCCTGTATCGTAGGAAAAAAACTCAAGGAGTCCGAACATCTGACAAAAATTCATAAATCTGTCCTAAGTACATCTTTAAAACGCGTTTTTATCTAACGCAGCTTCTGAATAGAAAACAAATAGAGATGCAGAAAAGATAAGAAACAACACGAAGGAAGCAGGCAGAAATTGAACACCTTAATTACAGGCAACGCTGAACGCAAATATAATGTTCGCATAACAAACGAGATACGTCAAAAAAATTACCCTAAAAGAACATGAAACCTTCTAGAAATGAGTTGGACCTAATATTTTCCGATCGGTCATTCAGTTTGTTACCAGTAAAATGAAAATAAGACTTTATTTATTGTATAAAAATGTCTTACCTTTTTGATTTTTTAATGGCACATTTCAGTTTTGCCTTTATGCTTAATCACTCCACACGTCATATATTGTTCATATGATGAAATTTTGTAAAAGAGGGACGAAAGATACCAGAGGGACAGTCAAACTCATAGATCGAAAAACAAACTGACAACGCCATGGCCAAAAATAAAAAGACAAACAGACAAATAATAGTATACATATGACACAACATAGAAAACCAAACACTAAGCAACACTAACCTATCCAGTAACAGTGAAGTGCTACAACATTTTATAAAAAGCAGCATATAAACAGTTACCAGAGTTATCCGGACCTTCCTTAAATGAATGAATTCAAATATTAAAACAAAATAAAATTGAACATTTGTTCCAAACAAATCTATGCAAAAATTCAAATATTTGAAACCATATAAAAAGTTTAATCACAAAAATATTTAACTCCGAGGAAAATCCAAAACGGAAAGTCCCTAATCAAATGGCAAAATCAAAAGCACGAACACAAAAGACTCATCAGTGATGTTCGTCCCTATCCCTTAAAAAAACAAATAATTACAAAGTGTTTTATTAAATCGAATAACGATTTGACTTACTTTTGATTGGTGAGAAATTCATAAAACAAATAATCTGATGAAAGACTTGATTTAATTTTTGCTTAGATTTCATTGTAAAAAGTATCCTTTTGTATTAAATTGAATACTGTCTGATTCAGACAAAACAAACCAAAGCATATTACATGATTGTGTAACGTTTTTATAGTGTTATTAACTGGCGGTTTCTGTAATGGCGCTGTTATAGATTCGAGGTAAGCTGTATCGGACCCGAGACTCGAATTTTTTGTCAACATTGTCAGATGTAATTTCTGATTTCTCGTCCAAGTACTTAATCTTATACTATAACAATTCATTTTATCTAGCAAATAAAAAGTAGGTGGGAAGAATAAATCAGACAGTTTAACTATTTTTGCTCTTGGATCGTCTGCGTTCTGATGATTGATCAACGGAAATGAAACAGTGAAAATAATCGAAAGTCGTACTTAAAAGGGTTGTGAAAAATTTCCGTTACAAGACGTTACAAAACACTGAACATCATTTAAACTTTTTTTTATGATATTAAGATAAAAAATATTATACAAATGTATTTTATGCATAACATTACGTCCAAATGTAAGTTATATAAGCTTAGGTGTAAGAAAATTGAAACCGGAAGTGAACGTCCCGTATTAACCCATGGGCCAATACGGCGTTTTCCGTATTAGCCCTGTAAAAAAGCCGTTTTTGGCCCTGTCTGAAAGCAATATTAATCCCTGAAAGTATTGCACATACTGATTTATCCGTATTAGGGCTGATTTGTTCATATCATTTAATAAAAATGAATATTCACATATATATAT